GGTGGCACCAGTAATAACGGATGAGACATTAGGATTTGCAGCACACCAGGCAATTGCCAGTTGAGGCAGAGGTACACCTAGTGACTCAGCAATTGGTTTCAATCCATCTACTTTCCTCAACACATCATCCACCAAAGATCTGTTGGCGAGATTCTGCAATGCATAAAATTTCTAGTCAAGTTTCTTGAATAGGAGTAGTTTAAAAGGCGAGTGACAATTGATAAAGAAAATGTTTACATAAATAACAAAGTATGCACATGCATACACATCAATACATGAAGTTTGGATATGTCCACAGAAGCATATATCTGATCTTATTTACAAGGAAAACTTTCACTTTCCACTATTGGACCTGTGGTTCCTCTATTTGGAATGCAACTCAAAAAATATTGAACCTCTTCTTACAAACACAACTCATGTCTAAGGGAAGCAAAAATTCCTTTTGGCACACATAAACCGTCCATTTTCATAATTGAAGATGCTGGTTAACAACCACAAGAACTAATTGCTTGATAGATCCTCGGATCATCTTAAATTTGGAGAACTTTAACTCTTTAACACCATCTTATTCATGGCAAGTAGTAGAACATGTTCATAATGTTCATAGAGGTGCATAAAAAAAAAAGGAATTATTACGATGCTAAGCTTGGTCTAATATTCGTACTAGCATCACTCTTCCTTAACTATATTTTTTCGCTGTCATTACATGTTAGTGATTAAAAACTGCAACTTATTTTTTTGAAAAGTAAACAAAGTGTTAATGAATTAGCACCTATGTGGGTGCCGAAATGTACAATGTGTGAGATTAAAAAAGATTTAAGTCCTACTGTTCCTGTAGAGTGTCGAGGAACTCAAAAAGACTATCAAGGTTGTACACGTTTTAAGTTAGTTCAAAAGGCAAATAAGTAGAAACATTTGTATTTGAGTGTATGTGAAGCTACTGTCATCCCTTTAAAACGACTTTTGTTTCTTTCCATATTAGTTATTACCCATAGGATGTACGCTGGTATAGTGTGTTAGACAGCATTAGAAGTATTCTCAAAAAACAATTCTTCATCTTTATCCCCATCCAGCTAATAATAATAGCAACCGTTAGCTGTCCATACATGCTCCAATTAACATCAGAGAGGCAAAAAAATAGTTGTGATAATTGAGTAACCACTGGTCAGTGCAAAGAGAGGTGATTAATATCTTCTGAGTTGCTGGAGCAAAGATTTTTTTTATAATAGTTGCTGGATCAAAGATTAAATCTGTAGCACAAGCAAAGCCTCTTCTAAGCAGATTCGAATAAGTCGGGCAACCATTATTCACTTAGCTCTCCAGTCATGGTTGATTTACATTAAACTTTAATAATTCTTGCAAATCTCCTCTCTTTCTCAAAAAAAAAAAAAAAAAAGGAAATTTAGTTCCCTTCGAAAACTTTCACCAATTATTGGAGTTACTCTTTATGAAGTTCTCTCCTCTTACGATTAAGGGGATTTCAACTTGCTGAGACCCAAACTCTTTTTTTTTTTTTGAGATGGTAATATATGGTATATTATTTAGGTTGGACTGAAACCATATTTACAAGTGAGTAGCCAAAAGAAAAAAACTTGGACCTCAGGCCTATTGAGACCCAAACTCTTTAATCAACTTTTGCAACTTGAGCTTCCTTTAAGTCTGACTACTCAACCAACTGCTCATAGAAATTTCTGCTTTAGTTATTTAGGAAGCTATGATCTAGGAACTACTGATGACCATCAGTACATATAAGAACATTAACTTAAAAGCCAATTAGAGTGGCAGCATACAGTTTCAATAAACAGGATTTTCTTGTAAAACTTTGAGGGTTTTACCTTGTAATTTTCCAGTGCAAATCGACTGTCGGCTGGAATGTTCCCTGCATTGTATTTTCCAGTCAGAACGCCTGAAGCAAGAGGACTCCATGTGGTAAGACCAATGCCGTAGTTGCTATACAGAGGGAGGTACTCAGATTCAACCTGCAACAATTCAATGAGGTCCATATTGTTAGACAAAAGACACATGACAAATTGTAAATACAGAGAACGACATTTTTGCAAAGTTAACATTGGAGCTACAGGCGGAGGCCAAATGCAATGAAATCTGACAATTCAGGTAGTGATCAGCATAAAAATGGCAAGCAACTAAGATTCTGGCAGCCAAATCACTCCAACAAAAGCAGCATAAATCAAAATCAGATCCTGATGAAGCATGAATGGACAACATCCTATAGCATACTTAGACAAGACGTTCACAGAAGTTTCTACAGCCAACAACATATTTTCTCTTCTCATACAACAAAGGGCAACGGATTTTGGCCATGTACAAATAGCAACATTCGACTTGCAACACCCTGAAAATCCTACACTGAAGCTGTCATGACAGGCGTGCAGCTGTAAAAGAATGCAGTTTTGCAATAAAATATTTGACTGTAGAGAGACCTAGATGATACAACAGCAACAACTAATACTATGCTCAGTACCAAACGAGTTGGGGTCACGGACCGTATTTCTTCATTAAAACTCAACTCAGGCCACTATTATACAAAATAAATTAAAAAGTAGTAGAAGTTGTCTATATTTTTTACAGGTATACAAATCTCTGCTAGGGTTAAAAGAATCCTAGAAAGAAAAGATGGACTGAACCAAAAGACTCCTACAAAGCACAAAACTTAAAGTAAACGTACTAACATGACTAAAGACAACCCTCAACTAATTAGTATAGCCTATATAGAAATATCTATTATTTTACCTCAAACACCCAGTCGTGTATTATCACCATTAACCCACTCCTTCCATATTGCCTATATAGAAAACAAATCTCTTATTTTACCTCAAATACCCTGCCATGGATTATCACCATTAAGCCACTCCTTCCATATTTCACATTTCACTTGTCTGACTATCTTATATTGATTTCTGAACTCACTGACTCTAGATCCTAAATTCACATATGACAAAAAGAAATACTCCCTCTGTCCCAATTAATGTGACACTCATTTCTTTTTAATTAATCCCATAAAGAATGTCACATTTCCTTATTTAGAAATAATTTATCTTTAGAATTCCTACTTTTCCCTTAATAAATTGATTTACAATGACACAAATATCAATGATTTGTTTTAGATCACAAGTTTTAAATATATTTCTTTCTTTCTTGAACTTCATGCCAAAACAATCCAAACTCAATTTTTCTGGCTCGAACTTATGTATACATATGAAAACACATAAGATCACATTTATTCTGAACTCAGTGACTCTACACATAAGATCACATTTATTTTGAACTCACAGACTCTACACATAAGATCACATTTATTCTGAACTCGCTGACTCTACACATAAGATCACATTTATTCTGAACTCAGTGACTCTACACATAAGATCACATTAATTCTGAACTCATAGACTCTACACATAAGATCACATTTATTCTAAACTGACTGAATCTTGAATTCGCATTTGACAAAAGGAAATACCAAAATTAGAGTCAAAAGATAATACCTTGTGCCTAGACAACAAGTTGTATTCAGGCTGTTCAACAATAGGACCCACAAGATCCAATCTTTGAGCAACACCCCAAGCTTCAGTAATCTGTTGAGCTGACCATTCACTTGTTCCCCAATAAAAAGCCCAACCTTTATCAATCACATAATTCATAGCCCTAACAGTTTCTTCAATAGGTGTACTAGCATCAGGCCTATGACAATAAATCAAATCCACATAATCCATATCCAGTCTTTTCAAACTAGCTTTCGTCCCCTCGATTATATGTTTTCTCGATAAACCCTTATCATTCGGACCCGATCCGCCCCAGAAAATCTTAGTAGATATAACAATATCTGATCTTTTCCAACCCAATTCACGAATTGCTTGCCCCATTATTTCTTCTGCTCTTCCATTAGCGTAAACCTCGGCATTGTCGAAGAAATTGACACCGTGGTCACGACATTTTTGTAAGAGGGATTTAGCTTCTTTGACGTCGAGTTGATTGCCGAAAGTGACCCATGCTCCGTATGAAAGTTGGGATACTTTTAGGCCTGATCTGCCTAAATTCTTGTACTGCATTTGCATTTTTTTCGTTTTTTGGGGAGGCAGATCAAGAAGAAAGAAAAGGAAATGAAGATTTGCTGTTTTAGGAGGAAGAAACAGAAGGAGATAGAAGTCAAAGAACAACGAGAATTTGGGAAGGAGTTGAAGTGTTGGAAATGGCTTATATTGTAGTAGTAGCTTAGCTGTATACACTCGGCAGAAATTAGAGGGATTTGTTGAGTGTGATGGGATCTACTGCGCTAAGCAGTGACCTTTCCTGTGATGTGATGCACTTTTCATAATTACTCAGTGTGACTTGTCATTTTATCTAACACATATTTTTTTGAATGATGTACTTTAATTTAATTTTAATTTTTTCTCCATAATTTATGTACGTAATCATAAAAATATTTTTGACTATTTTTTTTATTATACTTCATCCCTCCCATTTAACTATGTCTTTTAATTGTTTCTATCGATTAAAAAAAAGATCTAATACAACAAAAAGAAGATTGTATTTGTACATTATTTACCCGTAAAATGGTACGGTTGAATTTGTTCGTGGTTTTCAGATAAGTAAATTAATTTGATCCAAAAAATAACGAAATAATTGATGAAATAAAAAATACTCAGCCTTAAAATGTAGATGAAATGACAGAGCTGACAAGTTCGGGAACAGAATTTTCGGGCACGGTAATGATAAGATCAAAGAGCGAGAAAGAAAAATTGTATTAAAATTCTGTATAAAATGTAGTGTAAGTTAGCCAGAAAATTCATGTCCCTTATAATAATTATTGAGCTTATTATTTATAGCTATGAAAAAGTTACTAAAATCGTACCCTTCTTTAATGTCAATTATGATGAGCATTGATGAATACGTAACAGTGAACATAAATGTCAAATTCTCTGTAACGGGCTGTTGCTCTTAATGCTATAGAATATTCCTCATTAAAGGGCGCAAAGTATTCAATGTCTTCATAAACGTTATCTTTTCCGGTGACACACGGGATAACTGCGTCCGATTTTTCGTCATCCCGGCTTAGGTTCCACGTGTCCCCTTCTTGGGTGGCCTCATGCCATAACATATTTTACCTAATACAGATAGTCCCCCTGCTTTCCGGTGATATAACTTTGTGTTACCTGTAAGTTGGTAGAAACACTCTTTTGGTGAGAATTACTATAATTCCTTTTGAAGGCCACTGACGGTTGATTAGACGCCTATCTCTCCGCATTTAATGCACGCCTTTTTCCGGTTATCGAGGTAATCTTAGCCAAGGATTTAGCCGCCAAAACCTTACTTATACGTATCAACTTCCCCCATTGTATTCCAATTTCCTTCATCTTATTTCGCCTACTGAGTCTTCATCTTCTTCAAAAAAAATCATTTCTCTTTTTCGATGGCTTCCTCCTCAAAATGTACTGGTTCTTCAAAAGGCAAAAATAAAACCGACGACTTTGTCGCTCCAACCGTAGACTCTATCATACCAAAAAGACTCAATACCGCAAAGAATTTTGAGGAGAAATTCCCTTCTGCTAACCCCCGTACATGGGTTGTTAGCAGGTACCCTTCTTCCGTTCGTCCTTCCAATATTCCCATTGTGAAGGAAGAATATAGTTGCCATGAATTGAATATCATCACTTCCGATCTATCAGAGCAAGTGACCCTTCCCAAGGAAGGTTTTACATACTTTTACACGTATCCCTTCACTTTGGGTGCATTTTCTTTGAGTGGAGAGTTTGATTCCATGATTGCAGAATTTTGCCTCTGATATCAAGTGTGTTTGGCACAGGTAAGTCCTTATGTGTAGAGGACAGTTACCTGCCTTCGACGCTTGTGCCAAGAAACTAGAGAAGAGCTAATATTAGCTCACATGATGAATCTCTACTCCCCCAAAATTTTTCGGAGGGGGGAGGGAGGGGTATGGGGGAGGGGTATGATAAATCTCTGCAAATGAGGTCACCATGCTTTGTTGACTAGCATGGATGATGATAGTGACCGCGGGTGGACAGAATGGTTCGCCGCGGGTGGACGGAATGGTTCGTCGCGTTGCCACTAGCAGTATCATTCCAACAACAGCTTCATCCTTTTCGGCCGTTTGGAACCGCGCTCGTAAGATCTCTAATATTCCTTCTTTCATTAAATATTCTTCTATGGCCGTATTTTCATTCTTCGTATGTTTTAGCAACTCGATGGGTCCCACCGATGGTGAAAGGTTTAGACCATGGGTTCAAAATATTTTGGATGTCAGAACGCCCGAAACTCGCTTGTGGAAAGAGCTGGCTCTGAAATACGGGTGGAAGGCCAAAAATCATGGTAATTTGAACTTACCTCGCTTCCATCTTTCTCTGCTTTGCATATCGATTGAACCTTTCTGACTTGTTTATGAAATTAAGTCTACCTGCGAGATTTGTTACTGTCCCCGAGGAGGACGTTTTGGCTGATCCCGCTGATGCAGCGAGGCTGCTTCAGGAAGCTCTCACTCGAACAGGTATCTCCGGGCCTATTTCGGGTGCAACCACACCTTCACGGAGTCCTCATCCAGAAGATAAGCAACCGAAGAGAAGACGTTCCTCAGTGGCCGGGGAGAAGAATAAGCGATCGAAGACTGCTATTCCCGAGCTATCTCTGGTGGAGATGGTGCTTGGTCCTCCTCCCAGGCCGGTCATAGACACTGTGATGATTGATGAGCTATCTCCGGTGGTGAAGGCGACGATCCTTATCATCTCAACATGATGCTCAACTTGTTGAGACAGTCATACCAACCGAGGATGATGCCTTGACACGTTAGGGAGAATTTGATTTGGTATATAATACCAACTCCCGTTCTCGGGCCCCAGTTGTTGTGCCCGGTACTATGAAACAGAGTACCAGATCCTTGCCGTCTTCGAATGGCGAGTACCCAACATCCAATGCTGCTTTTGACATAGCTGTTTCTCCATCTTCTATCCCATCAGCTTCATCACCACCTTCTCTAACACCAGCAACTGCTACATCACTTCCATCTTCATCCACTCTTCCACCAGCAACATCATCTCCAGCGGCCACACCTGACCATGAAGAAGGCGTTCCTCTTCCACAGTCCCCAGTTCATGGTAATTTGGGGCAAAATTATGTTGCCCCTCCTGAAGATCCTCAGAGGAGGAGGAACGTTACTCTTTCGGTCTCTACCGGGTGCAATCTTCTTTCCCCGCCGATGGAGCTTGCTAACTATCTGAAGCCTTTGGCTTCAGAGAAGGATTGGGAAAAGATTCAGACACTCTCGAGAGAGTGTTTGTTGAACAATGCTATGCATAACGCCGCAACGGTACGTTTCTTTCTTCCCCTATTATTTCTCCTACTTTTGAATGAATGTATTTTAAGTTTTTAACTCTTTTTGTTTTGTAGGCCAACTTTCTTGCTTCTGAGGGTCTTCAAAGGTTGATTTGCGAGAAGGAAGGACTTACTTTTGAACGGGATCAACTTTTGATGGAACGGGACCAACATTCTTCGTCTCTTAGAACTGGAAACCAGATCCACCAAGGTCGACATTTTGGAAGCTCGTTTGCAGCAAAGCGAGCAAGAAGTGACAACCCTCAGCCAAGAAGTTAGCCCGCTGAGGGCTAGATTTGATGAAGCCAAGTCTAAATGGGCTGACCTCCAGGACGCCATTCTTGCTGCAACCGAGCGCGAGGCTGCTATTGCTGAAAGGGTAACTAACTTGGAAGCAGCCTTGAACTCCAAAGTTGAAGAGTTTGTTGCCGCGGGGGTGAAACATGCCCAGCTAGAAGAGAAGTACAGGAAACTATCGAGCATAACAAGCTCTTTAGTTCAATTGTTCGCGAGCTTGACGACAGCCTTAAATCTGTTAGGTCCGCCCGAAAAAATCTTTCTGTCGAGATAACCCAACTCAAAGAAGAACTCAAGCACTGAGAGGCTTTCCTCGTTGTTGAAAAAACTTACGCCATGTACAACATGAGGAGAAAAATCTTGGAAGAATCCAAAGCTGGTGTCATTGATATTGATGCCAAAATTGCCAAGGCACGCGAGCTTGAGTTAGCCGCTAAGACTAGCTTTCCATCAAGGTCTAATGTATCTGGCCCATCTGGTTTTGGTTCCGAATTTTCGAGAACTGAAGAAGAATCGGAGGGCGACGATGTTGAAGAACAGACTGGGGAAAATCTCGAGCCATCGGTAGAACCGTCTACCACTCTTGGGGGCGCGGACACTTCTCTTTCTCCTAGACCAGGAGGTACTGCAGTTTAGCTTTACTTGTCTTTTCCCGTTTTGTATTTCTTTTGGCACGTTCTTATAAATGAAGACATATTTTTGCTCAAATGTTTATTTGAGTCTTACTTTCGCTTGAATATCCGTGCAAGTTTTTTAATCATTATATTTTTTTTAATGATTTTGTGCATGTTTTTCTGTTAACATTTTTCTGTATGTGATCTCGGATGCATTTTCTTCGATGCACTTTGTTTCCAAGAATTATCCCTTTTACGTGAGGGTTTTAATAAGTATTTGCGCGAGTTTGCTTTTTGCGTCTTTTTTTTTGTGTGGCAAATTATACTACTAGGCGTGCTTAGTAGCTATTTTATTAATAATAATAAAAAAGAAACCACAACGGAAAAGTACAAGTAAGGGGGGTAGCTACAATAGTGTTGCCTCTATACCTTGGCTATATAATTACTCCTCTGCACCTTCATTGCCTTAAGATGGCAGCCTCATGTAGAGGATCATGGTGTAGCTGTCGGCCGAAGTCTCACGAGGGTTTGGATCTTCCCAAAGGCATAGAAATATAGCACACACATATTATGCTATACATTACCTTACAAATTCTATTGAGGCATAATAAACCTCATCTTCTGGCAAGCATGAAGAAAAAATGAATTGGAATGAACTAAGTACTCTATGATCATCACATAGTTTATAACATACTCTGTGATGATATTACTAATGATGATACTTAAAAATGATAAAATAAAACAAGGTAAAAATTTGAGTCTTTCCCTTCTTTCTTCAACCTTGTGCACTCTTCAAATTGTAGATCACTGGCTTCTTCTTCCACTGTCTTCAAATATTCTTCGAACTTTTTCATTTCTTTTTTGATTTATTTGACTTTGTGGAAGTGGTAGGGACACTCGCCTTTTGCTTTGCAGTTCTCATTGGTGCTTTCCTGATGACAACCTCTTGTGTTGCTTTGCCATCCCAAGTATGTTGCCTTTCATGTGCCTTCTTTTT